ATTGTTTGAAAAAACAAATTAGAGGGTTTAACTGAATGCAAAAATATATGTCTTAATCAGTTAAATTACGAATCGTTTTCGTTTTTTAGTGTTAAACAGTACCAAAAATAAACTTTACCTTTCCAAATGGGGAAACAATTTGGTGAAGAGCGGTTATTCGATCCACAAGTTTCTCCTTCCTCACCTGCTATGCCATATTCAAACTTAGGATCACCATAAAATACAATCATAACAAAAAGATGCAAACTTTCATGCAAAAATGTTTATTCCCACATGTTTAAGCGATACCCTTTAAATATATATTAACAACGGAACTATGCTTAGATTATGCTTAGACTAGTCGGGTGTACCTTCAGAGGTGGCTGGCTGGAAGACGGCGGGTGAACCCTAGCCTTCTTACACGCTCCACCGGAGGCGGCGGACCGGTTAGACTATTCAGAGAGAGAGAGTTAGAAGGAGAGAAGGGAGGAAATATAATTTTGGCAGTAATATTAAAATTCTCACCTCTGGGGAGTGTTGTGAGGCAGATTGATTGATGTTGTGATCTGGGTTGGAATTATTGTAAGTAAAGTTTAGGAATTTGTTGGAGTGAGAAGAAGAAGAAGTTAAAGTAGAGTCAGGCTGAAGAATTAGAGACTGATCCCTGTTGTTGGAGACTTCTTGCTTAACAATATCAACAAAATTAGGGGATTGATTATGGTTATTATTCAATATTTGGTCCTCCCAATTCTCCAAATTTTTTGGCTGATAATGACCCATCTGGGTTTGGTTATTAATAACCCTATCTTCATCACCTCTGAAAAAAGGGTAATAATTATAAGAAAGAGAAGGAAAAAAACATGCAAATTAAAATTGATTAATTGCACACTTACAAAAGGAGTTGGCTCCATGAGTGAGGGTGAAGGTGATCAGAGAAATTAGAAGGAAACTGAGGGGGAAAAAGAGAAGAAGAAGAAGAAGAAGAAGAAGGTGGAAATATGGCCCACCAATTAGGGTTTCCAGCCATCATTTGTGTAATTTGAGGTCTTATATTTTGATATGGAGAAGAAACACAGAAACCCTTTTGAGGGAAGAAGAAGAAGAAGAAGAAGAAGCTCTAGTGGGAAATTTTCATGGAGGAATTTTTGAGCATGCTCTTATGGAGGAGTGAAGGTTTTTGGAGTTTTGATTTTGTGTGGAGGAGATGAAGGAAAACTTGAAAGGGAGATTTCAATGGAGGATGAGAAGGTTGAGGGAGCACTTTAATTTGTATCTTTTTTTCTTTTTCTCTTTCCTTTTGTTTCATTTATTTGGTAATTCTTTTTCCTATGTTTTATTTTATTTTATTTTTTTATGGTTTGCTTTGCTTTAGTATGAGTGGAAGGCCACAAAAGTTAGACTACTGTTTTAATTGGGTGTCATTTTACTAATGGATCCTTCTCTTATTGAACTCGGTCGGACAAGAGATTTACACCTTTGACCTAAAGAGGTCATGGGTAGCCTACCTTAATTGAGTCATACTTAAATTGAACAAATATTTTTGTTTTTACATTTGTAGGTTTTCTTTTTAAATAAAGATTTTATAGTATTTCATTTATATGTATTTACAAAATTAGGTGAGTATTATGTATTAAGACGTGACAGATCTATTCATAAGTTTATAGTAATGAATATTACCTTTTTGTAAATCCACATAAATTTGATTATATTTCACCCATGTTGAGATGTTTTTAATTACTTAATATATCATGAATCTTCTTATTTCCTAATGTAACCTAATCTTTGAACGCATAAAATCAATATATATACTTGTGACATATATATAAATAATAAAGAAAAATATATATATATCTAGACATGAGTTTTTGATAAAAATTTTGTTTTTTTATTTTCAATTTTTAAAGTACTTCCTCATCAAGCACGTGAATCATAAGCATTTTATAAATTACTTTTTCACTCACATTTCCAAGTGTGTTCAAAAATATTTTTGTGTTACTCCAAAACATTATGATTTCAAGTAAAAAATCTAAAAACTTTAATTAGATTAGAAGCACTCTCGATTAACTATCAATTATATTAGATATATGAAAATATGAGAGATTTAAGGAACATAATCTAAAGACTAAAGAATAAAATAGTATAAAAATATGTAAAGTTTTAAAGACAAAAAAAATAAATTTATTTAAAAGATGAGCTTTCTAATTCATCATTTTTAGTTCTTGTCTGTTTGTAAGGAATGGCACAATGTTTTCAAACCCTTTTCTTTTTCAATGGTAGTTTTGTAGATATTGCATAGTAAAATATTTTTCTCTTTCTTCTTTTTTTTTCTATTTTAAATTCATTGATATAATTTAAAGTTATAATAATTGGGTCTATTCATATCTTAGATATTATATTTATTGTTATTTTTTTTCCTCAACCTGACATACCTCAAGTAATCCATACATATGACTAAAAGGTTTGAATTTGTTTGGTTGAGCTCAAAAAATAAAAGACTAAACTTTTTTTTCTTTTAAGAAAAATACAACTGTGAGAAGTTAAAACTATTTGAATATACATGAATTTTAATATAACTTTTAATAGTAAAATATTTGTTTAAACAAAAATGAATGGTGGGGGTTCACTTGGACACCCTATTCTCATTTGATGTTTTTTTTTTTAATTTTAATTAAGTTCTACTAACATTATATTTTCTTTTTTAAAAATAAAAATAATGGTAATGT